GTTACTATTATAAAAATAAGAATATTGTTTATTTAATATACTTAATGTTAATCTTCTTAATTAATCTATTATTAGGATTTCAGATAAAAAGAAAACAGTAATTATATTTTAGAAAGTATATTATATCTTTGAAATTACTATTTAAATATTTGAGTAAAACTTTATTTCCAAGTTAAAAACAGGATATGCTCTTAAGTAATAATAAAACTTTTACTTAAATATAGAAAAAAAGAATTTTTCTTATAAATATTGATATTTAATCTTATATAAATAACTTATATTGTTAAAAAGTAAGCAAAAAATTTTTATTATTATTATCAATTCTATTTGTAAGAATAATTAAAATCTCTAATCTTTATGTATTATCTTACTAAATATTTCAATAATTAGTATAATATCTATAAAAGTATTATATTAATATTGGTTATTATTTATAACTTTGATTATTTATGGAATGCAATTTTTTAAAGTTTCAGATAATAATAGTTATATAATAGTTTCTTAGATATATTTAGTTTAATCACTAATAAATAAACAATATTAGATTTAATAATAATGATTATATTAATCTTTTGAAAAGAGTAAACTATTTATTTTTTTTAAAAAAAATCATAAAAAAAAAATCATAAAAAAGTTTATTTTTTTGTTAAAGATTGTTATTTTTTAATATAATCTTTAGAAAAAAAAGTTAACTGGCTAGAGGGTTAATAATATAGAGATAAAAATCACTAAAAAAAAAGAGAACTAGGAAAAAAAAAACATTAGAAAGAAAAAAAAAAACTAGCTTTGGTAAGAAAAAGAAAAAAAAAGAAAGAAAAAAGAGTTATTTAAAATAGAAACTTGTAAAAAAAATAGGATAAAGAAAAAAGAAGAATGAAAAAAAAAATAAATAATTTAAAAATTTTCTAAAAAAGAAATTTCCAAATATAAGAAAAAAAAGTAAAAAAAAGTTTTTTTACTTTCTTTTTTTATTATAATTTAATAAGAATTAAAATTATATAAAGAAATATATATTTTTTTATTTTAAAATATTAATAAAATCAAAATAATAATCTAAATATAAGTTTCAATATTTCTTTTTTAAAACTATTGTATTATATTGATATAATAAGTTAAAATATAATATTAATATATTAATTCTTTTTTTAAACTATTTTTTTTAATTAATTATTCTATTTAAAATATTACAAAAAAAAAAGATTATTTTAACAATCAATAATATTAATTGTAATCAGAAGTTGTTAATCTAAAATAAAAACATGTATGATAAAATTTGTTTTGTAAAAATTTTTATAAAGATTTTCTTAACACACCGTATATATTTTATATTAATATTAAATAATATTAAATTATATATTTATTTGATAAAAATTTTTATTTAAATTATATTGTACAATATTTTTTTAATAATAATGCAGCCAATCCGGGAGATCCGCTCTCATTATATATAAGTGACAAATTATACGCTGTTTCCTTTTTAAGATCTGTTTGATCATCATCTTCCTATTGTTTTTGTTAAAAAATGTCAACTATGTTTAACAAAAAATTTTTTAAAAAAAACAAATCAAATACCTCTTCTGTTTGCTGTTTAAGAACTTGCAATAAAGAAGGTAATTTAAGAGCACTTTCATAATGGGGTATTGCCAAATGGGTTAAACCTATAAAAAAAATACGAATAATTAAATAATATAATATAGAAAGCTTTGACCATTTAAACTAACCTATATGATGAAAAGCTCTGCCAAGATTATATTCAGCTTCTTGATTATGTGCTCTTA